CAGAAGTTTAAAGTTACATTACAAATTAGCTATGAAACTAGTAAATTTCTAAAAAAATGTTAGCCAGTCTAAAACTGAATATCAGAATCGATTGTCAGTTAATATTATTGATATGCCTTGCAGATGAAGGGAAAAAATTGTTTCTAAATCTGTTCGTTTTGGTCTGAGGAACAACAAAAGACCTTGAGTGGCTAAGGTCGTAATTTGGAAAGTATCTAGATGGTACATGATTATGCATATTAGCTACTGGTGTTGTGGTGATTTCATTAAACAGTTTCTCGCATGCATCCACACGCCTGTCACTTAATGGTTTGATGCCCGATTTTTGTAAACAATCCGCATAACCTGTCAGTGGATAGATGATTGATAAAACACGCTTTTGAACCCGTTCCAGGGCATTAGATAAGTAGGAAGGAAGGGCGAAGTGGAAAACTTGACAGCTGAATTCCATGACTGGTCTGACGCAGGTAGTGTAAAAATTTATTATGTCAGCTTCAGGTACGTGAGCACGTTTCAACTGAATAATAAAATAAATCCGTTTGTTCGCCTTCTTAACTATGTTAGTTATGTGTTGGTTCCATTTTAGATCTTGCATCATACTGTAGGCATAGTGCTCGTGTAAGGAAGCAAAGAAAATTAAAAATCTTAGATTTTCTCATATGTGCTGGAGATTACGACAAACTGACACAAACACAGTTTCTAATCCAGTCCCCCTCGGCAATGAATCTGATGTCCGTGTTGACAATGTTACCGAAGTGACGATATTTCCCAAGGGCAAGGGGTTTCGTACCGAGGGAAATATCATCACTGAGGGTAATATTTCGTCGATTTCCCGAGCGCCGGGTCAATAAATGATATATTATACCCAAACTTAAAGAACCCAATATGTTGAGAATAAACTTGCTGTACACTAAGCACACTATGTTTAATTTTTATTTACACCCGAGTTTTTTACGTTTCCCCTTAAAAATGTGTTTTCTACATGCAAACCAAAGGAAAAAACAACATAATGTGCGTTTCGTGTACTTCCTTAGGATTCTGGAGAAAGATTGCTTCTGATAAATGCGTTGGGGCCAGGAACAACCATTATAAAGAGTTTACATACACTGGACCAAACACTTTCATTATTGCCATGAAAATGGTACACAAGAAAGGCAGGATTGGATGCATTGGCTGGGCGTATTCACGTTGGGGATGCACAAATGCACATCCTACCAACATCATTGTCACAGGTAAACTATCAGAGGTCCAATTAGGGTCATCGTACTGATGCACGCAGTGTTACTACAGAAGGAAACCTAAACCAAACTAACTTAATTTATAATGGTAGCTCTATCTGTTCTAAAAAGTTCTACCTGGAGACCCAGTAAGGATCATCTCTTATACCTGTGCCACGGAGGTAAAAGACACTTGCACTTTATACTACTCATCAAGGCACTAGAAACCGAGGGCGACCTCCTAGAAAATCTCCACCCCCTTGACGTCACATGAGTTGAAGTAATATAATATAATTTTATGTGATTGAGTGTTGTTTATTTCAGATACAAGAAACAAACGCATCTACCCTTCCCCAACATTGATAAGCATTCGTACAGGTGGATGGTATGATCTGCCTGGCTACGGGCCGAATTCCCCAGAGCTCGTGTTCTCTGACCCAGGGTTTCGCTACCTGTACAAAGGCCAGAGGATGAGAATCTGGTTTGGTGAAGATCTGCACGACTACACAGAGGGAGACAATCATGGATACACGTGCATGGATGTTTATGTTTACAGTCCAAATTTTTAATTTGGTCCAGAACTGCTCTTCAGATCTCATGGAAACGACCGCTTGAAAAGGACTGTCTTTTGTCTTACATACAATTGCTTAAATCAGCTGTAGTTGCTATGTCTTCTGGTTTTCTCTTCAAGAAAACATTGGCCATATAGTTGCTTCTATATAGTGTTGTAGAATCGTTTAGTAACTGAAATAATGTCGCTTTAGGCTTTCATTAAAACTATAACATATTATTTTCTTGAATACAAAAACAACTTAAGTAACGTTTCGCCAATCATAAATGTAGTTTGATAAATAAAGATACAGCAGCAATTGCATGTCATGTCTTTGTCTATATAGCTTAATTTGAACTGATATTTTAAGAAAATATGGTTTTAAATAAAGTAATTTTTCTATTTAACTTAAAAGCCCTCCCCAAGACCACAGAAATATATTACAATTTGACCAAATCCTGGGTATGGATGAAAGTTAACCATTCCTATATAATCATACCATCAACGTCCAAAAATGTTTTGCATAATTAGACGAATCTTCAAACGTTACATAAGCTGATAGAGTAAAAGGGTCTACCGGAAGTACGCACAGGGGCGCATTAACCAGGGGTGGAAAAACTATTTTACTTTCTGGCACCGCAAGACAATCATTGAAAGCATTTAAAGTGCCTATGACACGAAATTTCACCCCAAATGTTTATGATTGCATTGTAAAGATCCCTTAAAATGACTTAATAATTTCTTTTATAGAATTTTCGTAACTTGCTTCCTTTGCAAGATATTTAACTTTGTTTCATATGCAAATATCACCGGTGTGACATCACATCGCATAATCACATTTTGAAAACGCAATATTTTACCTTGATAAAATATTTTTAAAAACAAATACAGAGGGTTAATTACCAGTTATGAAATAAATACATGTACAAGGGCAATTTTTAAGTTTTTTAGATACGTATTCGCCAAGAAAACTATACTTTTCAGAAAACTCATTATGCGATGTGATGTCACACCGGTGATATTTGCATACGAAACAAAGTTGAATATCTTGAAAAGGAAGCAGGTTACGAAAATTCTATAACAGAAATTATTAAGTCATTTTAAATGATCTTTACAATGCAACCATAAACATTTGGGATGAAATTTCATGTCATAGGCACTTTAAGGATCACCCGGTATATAATCCCCCTCCTCCGTTCATTCATAGAGAATTATTGCATTTTTCCAGGCCGAGGACTTATTCAAGTCTGGAAAATAAATTCACGTATAATCCCACGACTTCATCCAGTCCCGAAGACTGTATTAAACTTCGTCCAGTCCTAGAACTTGATCCAACTTCATCCAGTCTAGGACTTGAACAAACTTCATCCAGCCCTAGGACTTGAACAAACTTCATCCTGTGCGATAGGAATTGATCAAACTTCATCCAATCCTAGGACTTGATCAAACTTCTTCATCCAGTCTTAGGACTTGATCAAACTTCATCTTGCATGTCATGGGACTTGATCAAACTTCATCCAGCGCTAGGACTTGATCAAGCTTCATTCAGTCCTAAGACTTGATCAAACTTCATCCAATCCTAACGCCCGTATTCTAAAAGTTCACTCATACACACACTCAATGAGTGAAGGTTCAATCTGAGCTTCTCTTGAGTGTCAATGCTGTTTGTGAATAGCTGGACGGTGAGTAGTCACATAGTAAGGTATGACACTAGCCCTCCAGCTATTCAAAAACAGCAATGACACTCGAGAGAAGCTCAGATTGAACTTCCACTCATTGAGTGTGAGTGAGGTTTTAGAATACGGGCGTAAGACTTGATCAAACTTCATCTTGTCCTAAAACTTGATCAAACTTCATCCAGCCATACGACTAGATCAAACTTCATCCAGTCCTAGAACTTGATCAAACTTCATCTAGTTCTAGAACTTGATCAATCTTCATCTAGTCCTAGAACTTGATCAAACTTCACCTAGTCCTAGAACTTGATCAATCTTCATCTAATCCTAGAACTTGATCAATCTTCATCTAGTCCTAGAACTTGATCAATCTTCATCTAATCCTAGAACTTGATCAATCTTCATCTAGTCCTAGAACTTGATCAATCTTCATCTAGTCCTAGAACTTGATCAAACGTCATCTAGTCCTAGAACTTGATAAACTTCATTCAGTCGTAGGACTAGATGAACACATCTCAAACTAGGACTGGATCAAAATTAATTCACCTCACTTGAAGTAGTGCAATGATGTCCGGAGCTGAGCAACCAACCAAATTGCCCGAGTACATGCTAAATGAAATATCGCGTATTCGCGTGTAACTCGCGCCACTTTAAAATACAAACAAACCGCAAAATGTTTATGAAACTCCTTTTTCAGACAAATGTGTGAGTTTTGCTATAAAAAAATTCTAAAATGCACAACGATAGAAAAGTGTTAATTTGTTTTTGTGCAAGCGGTATTCTGGCCCGCATCGCGAACTTTGGGATATGGTATTTGCAGTGTTTTATGCACAATATCACAGCACTTCTGACAACAAAGATGACTTAAATAATGAGCCTTCTACGAGTGAAATAAGCAGAGAGAATTTTGCTTCACCAGTGAGTCAGTAGAAGCCAGGAAATTTAATATAGAATCAAGGCCGAGAAACACTACACGCGAGTCGACACAACGGGGCGCGATTTCTCAATTTTTGGAAAGTTTATAAAACAGCCAATGAAAGGAAATTTTAAAAGATATGTAGCCCAAATAACTCAAAATGTTATAAAGCTTCTAAATATTTGAAAAACTTAAACCAGAATCAAAATTATCGATAAGCGAAAATCGAAATATTGCATGCGTTGTCGAATCGCGTTCGTTTTGTTGGACCTTCACGCAATGTGTAACCATCCGTATTTTGCAGACACAATTTCGCGCGAAGAATTTCGCCGTCGTTGAATTAGGCCTATACATAGCGCGGTGTTTTGACGGTTTTAATAATAATTTTTATTGGGTACGGGATCTAGCCTAGGACCTAGAAGGTCTGCTTTTCATTCTGAAAATGCATTAACACATCTTAGACTTAGTAAGATCACAATGCACAATGAAATGCCGAAACGAAATTACAAAGATCAAGGGCAAAATGCAATGCCGAAACGAAATGCAAATTACAAAGCTGAAGGAAGTCTAAAAGAAAAATGTTAAATTACAATACGACAACACTGCTGCTTTCATATCACACGTCAGCTCATAGAGTGAACATCAAGGTTTTTGAACTCGAACGAAATTTTGAAAAAGATTAACGGAAAGAGAATGTTGTTTAAAGTGCTGTTGTGCCTCTGTCTTCTTCAAGTAATGGTGTCTGCGAGGCAGTCAGGTTAGCATCTTTGTTTTTAACATATTTTCAGGCGATATTTCGTAAAATCACGTCGCGTTGTCGAATCGCGTCCGGTTTGTCTGGACCTTAACCGAGCGACGTTTTTGCCAACACGGACGTCACGCGAAAATTGGTACAACTCACTTTGGCGGCATTTGGCATCATAGCCCTTGTGTAAGGAAGCAAAAAAATTTAAAAATCTTAGATTTTCTCATATGTGTTGGAGATTACCACAAACTGACACAAACACAGTTTCTAATCCAGCCCCCCCCCCCGCCCCCCTTGGCAATGAATCTGACGTCCGTGTTGACAATGTTACCAAAGTGATGATATTTCCCAAGGGGCTTCGTACCGAGGGAAATATCATCATTGATGGTAATATTTCGCCGATTCCCCCGAGCACAGGGTCTATAAATGATATATTATACCGAAAGTTAAAGAACCCAATACGTTAATTTTTATTTATATCCGAGTTTTTTACGTTTCCCCTTAAAAATGTGTTTTCTACAAACCAAAGCAAAAACACAACAACAATGCGTGTTTCGTGCACCCCCTATAGGATTCTGGAGAAAGATTGCCTCCGATAAATGCGTTGGAGCCAGGAACAACCATTATAAAGAGTTTACATACACTGGGCCACACACTTTCATTATTGCCATGAAAATGGTACACAAGAAAGGCAGAATTGGATGCGTTGACTCGGCGTATACACGTTGGGGATGCAGCAATTCACATCCTATCAACATCATTGTCACAGGTGAACTATCAGTTTAAACTTAATTGACAATGGATAGCTTTATCTGTTCTGAACTGTTCTACGTACAAACCCAGTAAGGATCATCTCTTATACCTGTGCCACGGAGGTAAAAGGCACATGCACTTTATACTATGTCACCAAGGCACTAACAACCTAAAGTAAAAGTGGTGCGGAAAGGGCGACCCCCTAGAAAATCTCCACCCCCTTGATGTCAGATGAGTCGAAGTAATATAAGATCATTTTAAGTGATTGAGTGTTGTTTATTTCAGATACAAGAGACAAACTCATCTACCCTTCTCCAACATTGGTAAGCACTCGTACAGGTGGATGGTATGATCTGCCTGGCTACGAGGAGAACTCCCCAGAGCTCGTGTTCTCTGACCCAGGGTTTCGCTACCTGTACTATGGCCAGAAAATTAGAATCTGGTATGGAGAAGATTTGCACAAGTGGCATGAGGGAAACAATCATGGATACACATGCATGGATGTTTATGTTTATAGTACAAATTTTTAATAATTAGGCCCAGAACTGCTCTTTAGATCGCATGGAAACGACCGCCCGAACAGGACTCTCTTTTGTCTTACAAAGAGTTGTTTAAATCAGCTGTAGTTGCTTTTTTTTTAAAGAGTGCTCAGCCATGTGACATTGTTTTCTCTTCCAGAAAACATTGGCTTTATAGTAGCTTCCAATATTGTATAATCGCTTAGTAACTGGAATAACGTCGCTTTAGGCTTTAAAACTAGTATGGTCTTTTTTCCTGAAGAAAAAACAACTTAAGTAATGTTTCAAATAATCATATATGTGTTGATAAATAAAGATATAGCAGCAATTGCATTTGCCATGTCTTTGTCTATATAGCTTAATTTGAACTGATATTTTAAGAAAATATGGTTCTCAATGATCATGAAGAACTTTTTCTATTTAACTCAAACGCCCTCCCCAATACCACAAAAATAGATGACAATTTGACCAAATCCTGGGGATGGATGAAAGTTTTAACCATTCCTACGATTCAATCTTATTCATACCATCAACGTCCAAAATGTTTTGCATAATTAGTCGAATCTTCAAACGTTACATAAGCTGATAGAGTAACAGGGTCTACCGGAAGTACGCACAGGGGCGCATTAATCAGGGGTGGAAAAGCTATTTTAATTTTTGGCACCGCAAGACAGTCATTGAATGCATATAAGGATCCCCCGGTATATAATTTCATTCACGGAGAATCATTGCATTTTTCCAGGCCGAGGACTTATTCAAGTCTGAAGAATAAATTCACGTATAATCCTACGACTTCATCCAGTCCCGAAGACTGTATTAAACTTCGTCCAGTCCTAGAACTGGATCCAACTTCATCCAGTCTAGGACTTGAACAAACTTCATCCAGCCCTAGGACTTGATCAAACTTCATCCTGTCCTGTAGGATTTGGTCAAATTTTATCTAGTCCTAGGACTTGATCAAACTTCATCCAGTCCTAGGGCTTGAACAAATTTCATCCAGCCTTAGGACTTGATCAAACTTCATCCTGTCCTGTAGGACTTGATCAAAACTTCATCCAATCCTAGGACTTGATCAAACTTCATCTAGTCCTAGGACTTGATCAAACTTCATGTAGTCCTAGGACTTGATCAAACTTCATCTAGTCCTAGGACTTGATCAAACTTCATCTAGTCCTAGGACTTGATCAAACTTCATCTAGTCCTAGGACTTGATCAAACTTCATTCAGTCCTAGGACTTGATCAAACTTCATCTAGTCCTAGGACTTGCTCAAACTTCATTCAGTCCTAGGACTTGATGAAACTTCATCCAGTCCTAGGACTTGATCAAACTTCATCTAGCCCTAGGACTTGATCAAACATCATTCAGTCCCAGGACTTCACAATACTCCAAACAAGCATAGTTTACGCGCTATAAAGTATAACTGGGGTGTCACTTGGGTGTGATTTATCTCGCTACTAAACCTCGCTAAAGCGCCTAGAACAGTCTTGGTTTGTGCGCTATATAAATGTTTATTATTATTATTATTATTATTATTATTATTAAATAGAGACCTTACGATTTTAGGACGGCAACGGCTACCAATACAATAGATCATTGAAAAGAATTGAGTAATTACAATATATGAATAATTTTAGACATTGTCCTCGCTCTGTTTACAACGCCAAATCACTGATTTTCACGTCTTGACACAACGGCTGCATCCCAAGCCACAACAAGTACAACTTCAAACTGGGTTTATAGCAGAACTCTTCCCAACCAGAAAACCCATGTCTTCAACTTCTAAAACTGTATTAAATTCATATGATTGATAATATACGACAAACTATCTTTACTATACCATTTATTTGAAGGAGTTTGTTTTGGCCGTCGCCGTCGCGTTGCCTTCCTAAAATCGTAAGGTCTCTAATGACGATTGATAACGCAACGCATGATCATAATATCACCCAATCAAATTTCGTTTCCATTAATTAAAATCGTCGTTGCAAATCATAAGTAGCCTACTTTAGTATATTAATCTTATAAAGGTGAATTTTAAGTAAGGAATTGTGTGAATTTTAAGCTTCAGCCTTTTATATTTATAAAAAAATACTTAAGCTTTTATTATGTAAGTACAGGAACTAGAAAACTTCAGCTAAAACAGCTAATTCAAAAAAGGTTGTCCTTTGCAAACCTTAAACTCAAAACCTTAAACCTTAAACTCAAAGCGTGCAAAGCATAATTCTAGCATGATTTAATTAGTTAATAAATCATATATGGGGACCATTTCTTAGAGACATGGTAAATATCTCCTTACGAGAACAATTCATTCACAAATAGCTGCAATATTCAACTACTAAGCTTGAAACTTGTGTTCCCATTAAGCATTAGAGTTCAAGGTTTGCAAAGGACAACGGTTTACATGTTCTTTATTCTGTATTGTGCGCTGGTAAGACCCAAGCTAGAATACGCAAGCAGCGTGTGGTCGCCTTACACCATTAAGCATTGTTTGCTCATCGAGAATGTTCATGCAACGGCGGGCCACAAAATTTATCTTGAATTATCCTGACAACATGTCGTACGTGGACCGGTTGCAGAAAACAAATCTTCTACCACTGGAATTCCGAAGAGAACTTTCTGATCTGATACTGCTGTTCAAATCCAAACACCACCTCATAACAATGGATATAAACAAATATTTATGCACTTACAATCCCAGCTATCAATCTCGCAACTATGACGAAAATAACTTCCACCTCATTATAAAACATAATCAGGAATACTTTCAAAACTCTTACTTTATTAGATTAGCAAAACTTTGGAACAGCCTACCAACTGAAATTAAGAAATCCAGTAGTTTATGTTCGTTTAAAACTCGTTTAAATAACTTATATAGTATCAAGTCAAAATCATACAAACTTCCTAATAACCGTAGCTAATATTTAGTTTTGTGAAGAAAATGTTTGTAATATAAGTACTAAGTATTTAGTTTAGTTCAGTAAAGTTCACTCACTAGCTCGGTGTAAGAACAACCGTTAATCAGTTAGAATTTATATAATGATCAAGTTCAGATTAGTGTTAAGCTTTCGTTTGTTCTCACACCGAGAAAGTGCCTATGAAGTATATATGGGGTGAGGTATTAATTGGGACGTAAGTCCTGTTCCACATTCCAGTCACGTGTGTTGTCTTGTAGCTTGTTATGTATATTGTTTATCAGTGCCATTGTAAATATTTGTGACAAATTTAATAATATATATAATATAACGGTTTTTGAATTGGCTGCAGTATATCATTAGTTCTAAAGTCTTCTCCCATGCTTCATTGGTACTAACATTAACCAAGAGCGCCCGCTTGCTAGATAACTTTCAGTATATGCAAGTTGGTCAAAGGAATGAATATAGTTTGAATTACTTCATTATTTTGAACCTTTGATGAGACTGCCAACTTTGAAAAAATTTTACTCGCTTATATGTAAGGTCGTATGTTTATTAAAATTACAAATCAAATGTGACTAGGATCCAGCTAGAAAAGTTGTACAGTAATAACTTATACTACATTTACATGTTCTTTCTTCCTAAAATGCAGTCTTAAAATATAGTCTTGCAAAGTTTGCATATTTTCAGTATATTTGTATTACTTGCGGAAATTGTTACCATTTTTGAGCCGAAAATGGTAACAATTTCCGCTCGTAATACATTATACTGAAAATTTGCAAACTTTGCAAGGCTATATTTTCTAAGCTTTACAACATTTCGCAACCAAATTTTGCACTTTAACTAATTTCAGTATGTTCTTTTTAGCTGTTGTGTTTTATCCCCTTTTCTCCGCTTAGATTAAAATTTAGTCTAACATGCAAGTTGTCCATTATAGTGTTTATAAGAAAATGTTATAATAAGACCAATCATTGTCGATTTTGCATGATATATGAAGATATGACTATCTTCAACATTTTTTCCGTGCCTTAAACAGAAAACATTGATATTTGTTTTCAACATCTTGTAAGCCTTTAAATGATATACATGCAGTATAACATGCTCACAAATATTTGATCTAATAGAAAAGTTTCTGCGAAACACGCGGCTCGCTGCAGTATTCACGGGTGATTCGCATATTTTAGGTGCCTCGCTGACTCACAATTTTTATATGCAGACCCAACAAGATTGATACTTTTAAATAACAACGATGATGAATTAGCCTTTCTCACGATGACGAATATCCGCCATTTCTGGGTGGCACCTAATTCTCGTTAACCAATGCAGACAATTAAAACAATGTGAAAAGCAATTTTTCAAAATAAACTAACCATTTATTTTATACAAAGCAAATTTACCATCATTCGTCGAAAAATTATAAAAAAGTCGCTATTATGTGGACTTATCTCGCAGACTTCGGCTGAAATGCCACCCAAAAATGGCGGCGTGAGAAAGGATAATTGACAGTTCAGAAACTGCAGTAGAGGGCTATAGTCGTGCTATATGCTAATGACATGCATCTAAATTGGTTAAACATTTCTAAAGGTTTGAATACAAATCATCAAAAATGTGCATGCTATATATTCGTATATACGTCCCATGCACTTTTTTGCATCAGAATGGTTTATAAATTAGGAACTCCCGTTCCGACTTCCTAGGTTACGACCATTTTTACACAACAGATATATAGTTTTTGTTCACTGGCGTCGAACTTAGTAGCCTTACTCAATTATGTCATGAGACAAATTTACTACACTTCATTATATTTTATTTCGTGTTATTTCCCCGAGTTAGGCCTTTACATAGCGGCGTTTTAATCATTTTAATAAGAATTTTTAAACACATCTAAGAATTTTTAGTAATTTTTAATACATTAATAATAGGAATTTTTAAACACATGTGACATGCATGTATAAAGACATCTTAGTAAGATCACATGCCAGCAATATGCTGAAACGAAATGCAAATTAGCTACAATGCAGTTAAATTAGCTGTTAAAAAAATGTTAAATTATCAGAATATTATACAATACGACAACACTGCTGTTTTCATATCACACGTCAGCTCATAGAGTGAACATCAAGGTTTTTGAACTCGAATGAAATTTTGAAAAAGATTAACGGAACGAGAATGTTGTTTAAAGTGCTGTTGTGTTTCTGTCTTCTTCAAGTAATGGTTTCTGCGAGGCAGTCAGGTTAACATCTTTGTTTTTACATATTTTCAGGCGATATTTTACACGGTTTTGCCAAGAAAGCTTGTGTTCAATGTTTGCTTGGTCTAAGGACTGTGTTTCTGACGCTTGTAGGTTTGCAGGTCGACCAAGTATAGTAAGCTTAACCGAGCGTCACGCGAAATTTGGTAGAACTAATTTTGACAGCATTTTTCATCATAGCGCTCGTGTAAGGAAGTAAAAATCTTTAAAAATCTTTCGTTTTGTCATATATGTTGAAGATTACTACAAACAAACCCAAACGCAGTTTATAGACCAGTCCCCCTTGGCAATCTGATGTCCGTGTTGACCGAAGTGATGATGATCATAACTAGACGACAGGTCGTTTGCCATCTCCGACGGGTTCCTACCCTACATATGGTTAAGGTCGCTATTATAGTATAGCACGGCAGATATTAGGACCATTTATACAAGCGAAAACAAGTCCCGGCCTAAATATATAAGCCGCGGCTTAAATAAGTCGCGAAGAACTCGTATAAACAGTCAACTTGTTCACAAGCCGCGGCTAAAATAAGCCCAGAGTTGAAAGCTAGACCTAAATAAGTCGCGCTTATTGCAAATTGACTGTTTACACGAGTTCTTCGCGACTTATTTAAGCCGCGGCTAATTTATAGGCCGCGACTTATTTCCGCTCGTATAAATGGTCCTATTATGTCTCACCCTGCATTGCGTAATCCTAGAACTAGGTGGGATTAAAAAATCGAAGCGTCACGGCATTTGTACCCCGGGGTAGAAATGGTATAATATAATGTACTATTTAAAACACGAGAAATTGGGGATGGGGGGTAACACTAGTCCGATTTCATGTCCAGCTTATAATTCGCAATCTAATAACTGAAGACGCGGCATTCTTGACCGAATTATGATGTTATAATCTTCTGAATTTTGTAAAATCTCACCCCAAAATGCACGAAATGGCTCTGAATTGCAAAAGTTTCGTGTATTTCCTTAGGATTCTGGAGAAAGATTGCCTCTAATAAATGCGTTGGAGCCAGGAACAACCATTATAAAGAGTTTACATACACTGGACCAAACACTTTCATTATTGCCATGAAAATGGTACACAAGAAAGGCAGGATTGGATGCCATGGCGCAGGGTATACATATTGGGGATGCAGCAGTGGTGGTTCTACAAACATTATTGTCACAGGTAAACTATCAGAGGTCCAATTAGGGTCATCGTATTGATGCATGCAGTGTTACTACAGAAGGAAACCTAAACCAAACTAACTTAATTTCTAATGGATAGCTCTATCTGTTCTAAAACGTTCTACCTGGAGACCCAGGAAGGATCATCTCTTATACCTGTGCCACAGAGGTAAAAGGCACATGCACTTTATACTACTCATCAAGGCACTAGAAACCAAGGCCCACCTCCTAGAAAATCTCCACCCCCTTGACGTCACATGAGTTGAAGTAATATAATATAATTTTATGTGATTGAGTGTTGTTTATTTCAGATACAAGAAACAAACGCATCTACCCTTCCCCAACATTGATAAGCACTCATACTGGTGGATGGTATGATTTGCCTGGCTACGAGGCGAATTCCCCAGAGCTCGTGTTCTCTGACCCAGGATTTCGCTACCTGTACAAACGCCAGAAGATGAGAATCTGGTATGGAGAAGATTTGCACAACTACACAGAGGGAGACAATCATGGATTCACATGCATGGATGTATATGTTTACAGTCCAAATTTTTAATTTGGCCCAGAACTGCTCTTCTGATCTCATGGAAACGACCGCTTGAAAAGAACTCTCTTTTGTCTTACATATAATTGCTTAAATCAGCTGTAGTTGCTATGTTTTCTCTTCAAGAAAACATTGGCTTTATAGTCGCTTCTAGTATTGTAGAATCGTTTAGTAACTGAAACAACGTCGCTTTAGGCTTGAATTAAAACTAACATGTTTTTTTCTTGAAGATAAAAACAACTTATAATAAGTAATGTTTCACGTAATCATATATGTAGTTTGATAAATAAAGATACAGCAGCAACGTCTTTGTCTATACATAGCTTCATTTGAACTGATATTTTAAGAGAACGTGGTTTTAAATGAAGTAATTTTTCTATTTAACTTAAAAGCCATCTCCAAGACCATAGAAATAGGTGCCAACTGGGAAAATTTTAACAGAAACATATTTATTTCATTGCACTGAGAATCTTAATACTTTTTGGAGTAACATAAAACTAATTTGCATGGTGTAGGTACTATCAAGCCTATCCTCATACTCAGCTTATACAGTATGATACTGTCAGTATCGCAATATCAATTAACAAGATATGCGAGCGGATGAGCTGAATTAATCTACTAATGCCTACATGAGACTCGCCCTCATAAATTAAATCATCTGGTGTAAGACAGAGTGAAATAAAATATATACGTAGTAAAGCAGGTCGCATTATTGGGTGCATGCGTTGCCGGTTATGGAATACCAACAGATAAGATATTCTAAGCAATTCATACCGACGAGTCTCCTCTTTACGAGTAAAATGATACAGCTTTAGAAAGAGTAAATATGTTACTCTCCGATATTTTTACAAAGAGTAAAAATTTGTCTATTGATATCAAAATTTGCAGGACTATCGGACAAAATGATCAAATTTTTGCTAAAATTTGGTTAAAATTGAAACTGAATGCGTAATTAGGCAATTGTATATAATTGCCCAAAACGGGCATAGTTTATATCCATAAACCTTGGCTTTAAGGTTTGCCGTAAACAAGCGTCCTTTATAGCCACAAACCCTGGCTATAAGGTATGCCGAAACAGGCATGCTTTGTAGTCATAAACCGTTGTTAAGGTATGCCGAAAACAAGCGTCCTTTATAGCCACAAACCTTGGCTATAAGGTATGGCGGAAACAGGCGTACGTTATAGCCACAAACCTTGGCTATAAGGTATGGCGGAAAACAGGCGTACTTTATAGCCACAAACCCTGGCTATAAGGTATGCCGAAAACAAGCGTCCTTTATAGCCACAAACCTTGGCTATAAGGTATGGCGGAAACAGGCGTACTTTATAGTCACAAACCGGCCGATAATGTATATGCCGAAAACAGCCATGCATACTTTATAGCCACAAACCGTTTGTTCAGGTATGCCAAAAACAAGCGTACTTTATAGCCACAAACCGTGGTTATATAAGGTAAACCCTGGCTATAAGGTATGGCGGAAACAGGCGTACTGTATAGCCACGGTAATATATTAAAGTAATCCAATGAGACGATCATATTAACTATCTTCCATAAACCGCCACTCGTGCATATTAGATGGAAATTTGCTGGGAAGATATTTTGTTTTAAAATATCCTGGCTGTGGGGCTGCTAACGCTGCCGGACATTTTACAGCACTGTCCCGAGTGCCCTCTATAGGCTCCAGATAACTTTTGAAATATATAATATACACGCCACAAAAATATGTCAATAAATTCTTACCGTACAGACTGCTTTGGCTTCCAATACCAGGAATGCTGTTTGACCGTGAGATAGTCAGACGATTGTGAGTCTTGGGACTAGCTTGCCCCATGAAGAGACCGTTACCAGGGCTATTGCTTGCGCTACACGGTGCACTCGAGGGGTACTCATTGCGGTTTTTCCTACCACGGGGTATCGAAATACCGGGCGGAGAAAATGACCTCGCTAATCCCGGGGAATCGTCTCCATGCACCGCTCGTTGAATAATCTTCCGAGTCATGTTGCTTGGGATGGCGACAGGGGGATTGGGTGAGGGGGGGATGCTATTGTCCGTGGGTAGATACTCATTGCTGTTGTAACTGGAGGGAGTCGAGGAAAAATTACTGCCTTCCCTTGAGAAACAGTTTCTGTAGTCCTGAAGACATAAATAAAAATGTTTTTTCTAGTCGTCTCGTGTAGGGTTAAAATAGATAGGGAGTTTAAGCTTCACTTCTGCAGGAACCGCAAACGGCAAGGCCGAATTTTCTTGGCATAATTTTCGTTCGATTTCTATGTGTCATATTTTCTTTCATATTACGCAGCAATAATTAAGCATTCCAGTTATAGAAGAACAAGCCCATTTACTTTTCATTGCTTTGTAGCGTAAAATTTTTCTTTGCCTGACGTTTGTCGTTGAACGCGAAGCTTATATTTTAACTCTCTAATTAGAGACCTTTAGCTTGACGTTTAAGGCCAAACGTCAAACCGCTAATGAAGTTTTTGATTTTACAACTCTATTATAACAGCTTTTACACCAGTTTTAAAATATATGAAACTTGTGCTAAGTAGCAATGATTTAGGAAAGCAAAGTCACGTATTCACTAAAGTAGCCACCAAAGTAGTAAATTAAGATCTGGCGTTTGAAGTTTACGTTACGTATCGGTTAAGAGCTGATAGAGCTACATCCAGTTCGAAAGAAATTAATTTAGCTTAGTTTAGTTATATTAACAGGGTGTGTCCACCCTTTGGTGAAGGTGAAATTCAAGGACTTTTCCAGAACTTTAATCAAGGCCCTTTTTCAGGAAATCCAAGGACCTAGAACTAGGAAAAATCTTTGAAAATGGCACGGATTTTAGACTTTAACCAGCAAATAATTCACTTTATTCGGTAACTTTAATCAAAATCACTAATGTTGGCACAGCTGGAGGTTAAGGAAATTAATTCCAGGACTTTCGAGTCCTAGAATTAAAGGACTTTCCAGAATTTGGCCCGTGGACACTCTGTATATAAAGAATAAAATGTTCACCTTAATTTTGATTGTCAGCGAAACAGCCTGGTTTGTTGAGCAGTACGGACAACTAAATAAAGACAATCAGAGCATTTAAAAAAAATCAAAAGTGATACACAGACTAAAAAGAGTTACTTCTTAGTAAAATTATTGTCTTTAGTGTCTATTATAACAGTGGCGGAAAATGAGGGAGGGGGGGGGCAGGGAGGTAACCACACCAAATGGCAGCCTAGACATAAGCCTTTACTCGGCTGGTAATTATCGCAATGGTCATTTACCTGGTAAAGGCCTAGTAGATTTCACAAGTTCTCAAATTAGCCCCATAACTTTGTGATCCGAAATTGATCAGAAACCAACAACTAAAGCAATTTATACTTGATCAAGATGGGATTTGTT